AGGCAGTCGTAGGACCTAGGCTGCAGGCAGTCGTGGAACCTAGGCTGCACTCTTTCATGGGATGTAGGGGGGTCAGGGTTAGGGCCAGTTCTAGATGTTTTGGGGTCGTTAAAAGCATCAGAAAGCCGGGAAACCCAGTCTTACCATTCTCTAAAATGTTGGAATGTCCTGTGACATCATCGGGGGAGGAAGGGGGGGGGGGGGGGTGTAGGATATTAATAAAGAAATGTTATACTATTTTTCGCTAATCTGCAAATTTTAAAAATAATTTTGCAGTAATATTCTGGCTAAAAATGGAAGCCAAGTATTTGAAAGAAAATCTGGGCCTGTTTGTCTGCTTGTTTAAGAGATGTGGTAGAGAAGAAACCCCATGACCCAATAGAATACATTGCCTTCTGGCTGAAGAAGCATATAGAGAATGAGCGTTATAAAGCAAAGGTAAGAACATGTTTCGAACAAGACAAAAAGCCTGTTAGGTAGTTAGTTAGTCTTTCCGCTTGAGCCTAGGATGGGGCATAGGGCAGAGGTCATTGCTCTCCATGTCTGGTGGTTTGATGCTACTTGTTGTAAGTCCTGGATGTTTATAAGGCCCATGGTGTCCATGTGGGGCTTGATGGAGGAGTCTGGTCTTATCCATTCTGAGTGCATGGCCAATGTAGTTCCATCAGTTGCTTTCTTATAATAGTGGATACATTGTCTTGATTGGTCTCTTGTCTTATTTGCATATTGGATCTGAAATCTCTCCAATTGAGATTTAGTATTTTTCTAAGACTTCTGTTCTCAGAATCGTCTAATTTAAAAAAAAAATCTAGAGCTACCATTGTTTTCCAACTCTTGCATCCATAAATTAGCACTGGAATCACACAAGAGTAAGAAATGTACTAATATAATTAATTGTTATATTTGACAATGTCATTACTATTTATTGGATGCTGTTATTGCACATTCTGAGCGAAATTAAAGAGAAAGCAGGAATAATAGTTGGAAGAAACAATATAAACAACTTGCAGACATGTTAGCGGACGATACAATTTTGATACCTGAAAGTGCAGCTGATTTACAACAACTGCTGGATATTGTGGGGATTGAGAGTGCTAAGAAAGGACTTTCCTTGAATATTAACAAAATGGAAGTAAGGGTTATATCAAAGAAGAAGATATCACCACATTATTATTTCTCAATTAAAGGAAAAAGGCTCAGCCAAGTCAATAAATTCAAATATCTGGGGACAATCATATCATCAGATGGAAAATGTGTGACAGAGATTAAAAGCAGAATAGGTCAAGCAAAGACAGCATTTCAGAAAATGAAAAAAATCTTATGCAATAAATAGCTCTCATTTAATGCCAGAAAGAGAGTGCTAAAATGTTACATAGAACCTGTTCTGCTGTATGGCAGCGAATATTGAATGTAAGTGAACCAATTAGGAAGAATGTGGAAGGAACAGAGATGTTTTTTTCTGAGATGAATGTTACGAATACCTTTGACGGCCAGAGTAACTAACAACGATTGTTTAAAAGTAGCTAATGAAAGTAGATCTCTATATAAAACAATAAGAAGGAGACAAACACTGTTCTTCGCCCACATATTGAGAAGAGAGGCATTGGAAAACATCGTGACAACTGAAAAGACCAGTCGAAAGAGGGGTAGAGGCAGACCAAGAGAGATGATGCTGGATGGGCTGAAATGATGGCATGGAGGGATATTATCAAGAGAGCTGTTCCAGGCAACCAGGGATCATGATCCGTGGAAATACATGAGCACCTAGGCCAGTTGGCCGGGCACATGATGATGACAATGATGTTATTGCATGTTGTTAGCAACAGTAGTTACAATTTAACTAAAAAAAGATCAATTATGATCACTAGAAAATAGAAATAAATACCTCACTTAAATGTGCAAGTAAATATTGAAATTATTAAGATAATATCCAGGCAGGATCACACTCACACTCAGAGTCACCAACTGGAAAGAGGGGACTAATCATAGAGATGAATAAAGTTGGGTGGTGTCTGCAGCAGTGAATTCTGGAGGCTCAGAATGCTGAATAAAAAGGAACAAAAAAAACACAGTAGAATTAAGCAGTTGAACTGATAAAATTATCAAGAAAAAGTCAAAAATTCTTTTGTTAGATAAAACATAGAGAAAAGTATCCATTAGTAAAATATACTTACCTAGATGTGAAGATTTATTAAGCATGATGTGTGAGGAGAAAAAAAGTTTTAAAAAGTGAGAACTGGCAAACTTATGGAAATAGAGCAAGATGAAAAAAAAAAATAATACGCTCCCAAAGGGTTTGGTCATGAGCTCAACAGCAAGGCACACAATACAAACCATATCAGAATGTAGACTGTCTCCTTTAAATCTCACAATCGTTTTCAGGCACCAGATCTAGAGCTGATATTGATGACCATGTCCCTAAATTCTGATCAGATCTGATATTGTTATGTAGTTTATGTTGCTCATATGTTGTCCAGCTATTTATACTTTTAACATACCTAATTTTCTACCTTCCTTCATGTCTTTTATCTAAAATTTTGAAGAATAAAGCTCATTTCTCAGTTCCATCTCTCTGTTGATGTGACCAGGGAATTGCATTTGTTTTTATATTATATTTTATGAGTGATCTAAAAGCACCTGCAGCTGTCATTATTTCAGCATTTATTTGTGCACAGTATTCTCAAAATGTTTCTAAAATCGGATATCTCAAGAAAATCACTGTGGCTAGTATATTTATCTGAGAGTAAAAATGTAAGTAATAAAGTAAAGATCTTGTCTCCTAACTTGACTCAAAAAAATATGTTTTAGGAAGTAAAAATGTAATTAGTAAAGTGAAGATCCTGTCTCCCAAGTTGGCCCAAAAAATTTGTTTCAGGAAGTAAAAATGTAAGTAGTAAAGTAAAGACCGTGTCTTTCAAGTTGACCCAAAAATATACAGTTTTTGGAAGTAAAATTCCAAATAGTAAAGACCCTGTCTCCCAACTTGACCCAAAAATATAATGTTTTGGGAAGTTAACAATCTAAGCAAAATAAAAATCTTTTTTAGTCTGTTGGCACAGCAGGCATATAGTAATAGCCTGTATTTTTAGAGACCACTTGGCACTTGAGGGGTGATGCAAATATCGTGTTGACCATCCTTTTTCTCTAGAACATTACCTCATACTTATTTTAGGCTGGGTTATCCTTGAGGCCAAGTTCAAGTTTGAAATGAATTCACCATGGTGCAGATTTGAACCCTTTACTTTCAGACCAGCAAGCAAGTGTCTAGCCAGTATGCTATTACAATGATTCAAGTTAACTAGCTGTTGTGAAACTGGCCACATTATCCATTGAGTTCCAGTTAGTCTGTAAAAACAATGGGTCTGACTTTGTACATCCAGTACACATCATAAAACAGAAAATGTCCTTGTCTGATGTTCTACTGACTACATCTCTGCTACCAACAGTTTCTTCACAATTTCCAGTTGTTTTGTTTTTGTTTTTTTTTTAATTGTGAATGAAAGAGAATTTATTGTATGTGTATTGTAATATCTTTTCCTGCAAAATCAAACACTGTATGAACTAGGTTAGTGCATAATTATGAATCTCTGATACTAACATGATTGCATGTCATGGGAGTAAAGCATAGTGAAGCAGGTCTCTGCCACCTACGAGACCGAGATAGGAGACTTTATAACTAGCTCTTAATGGGAAGAATTAGTAGAGATGCTGTAGAGTGGCTACTGCATTGGAGGTCTGAGCGGGCATGGGATTGCCGAGTGTACAGTTTTCATCGATTATAATAACGTAACATAATACTGATTCTTTCAATTTCAACCAATACTTTATTAGCTGTATTCTACGACATGCTTGATGGGAGGCAGTGCCTCACCCACCCAGAATATTTATCACAGTCATATGTCTTGTCAAATATGTTACGTTCCCAACCATTCTTCTTGTTCTTTGTGTTCCCCGCCAGATTACCAGTAACATAATATAAAACCATAATTTCTGTACACCTAAGGCAGGGGATTCACTTAAAGTTAAGACAATATATGTGGAGGTATGAATTAGTAATAATTAAATGACCTGTATTTGTCCAGAAAGCTGAGGAGGCTGAACAGTATGAGAAACTCAAAGCAGAAGCGGCTGTAGAGCAAGAAAGGAAGGCTATCAGACTGGAAGAAGCAAGGAGGTTAGCTGAAGAAGAACTTGAGAGGCTGAAGGTCAGTATATTTATATTTTAAGTGTGTACTGTGTTGAACTGAGACATTGGCACAGTGAAGGGTTACAGTGTGTTGCACATGATATGTCCTACCTCAAGACTGGCTGTATGAGATCAAGAACAAGATTTCAAACATAGATTTACAGTGCACTGATGGATGAGTACTTGCAGCTATACAATTCAAAATCATATTTACTGATATGCTGAGTGACACATTTAAACATCATGTGTTTTAACTGTGTGTAACTTTGCCTTTTAAAACATTGTTTTAACATTGTTAGCATCACTGGAATATTTTCTTCAGGGTATACATAAGTGTTAGGAAATGAACAGGCTGGCATATTAACTGGTTCTGTATCACCTGGTGGCAGACTGATGCATGACAAGCTAGAGATCTGCTAATTTTGGCAGCAAGTGAACAGCGTGGAGACACTAGAAGATCATCATAGTCTGAAGAGGTGGTGCAGTAAGGAGTGACCAAGGGATCTGGCTTATATTCAACTCTGCATCGGATGCTGAACATGTGAACAGAGCAAATAAAAATGTCTCAAGTGTTGTGATGTGAGTTTACAACTCAACACTGTAGTCTTGAAAAGAAACACGTTGAATGAATGAATTATGTTTCTACAGATGACATTACAGATTTTATTTATGTCCTTTGTTTGATGCTAATCTGAGTAATTACAACATGTGGGATAAGATGTGTAAGAAATCTGGCAGTAAACACAACAAGAGACAGAGTCACTCATGAAGAACTAAGAACAATGACAGGCTCAGTACCAGTAAATTATATCACAGTAGATCAAAGAATCAAATGATTTGGTCATCTGGTCAGAATGGAACAAAGTCAGCCAGTAGCTAGAGCGTACTACAAGAGAACAGCAGGCTACAAGGCCAGACAAATAAAGAGATGGGTGGAGGAAGTAAAAGAGACACTACAGAAAGTCATTATGACACTAACACAAACTACACAATTAGCGAAAGACACAAAACTAGATCTAGCACATCTCATCTGTGGCACTTTACAGCATAAGCAGTAAGACAAAAGAAGAAGAAGAGTTTATAAGTACAGTTTCATGTTTCCGATTACAGGCAGAACAGGAAAGGAAAGCCAGAGAGGCAGCCACAGCTTCAAAATTATCAGATGTTGAGGAGAAAGATGAGCATGAAACTCCCAGAGATCCTCCAAATGATGAAAAAGAGGATGTCATAAAAGAGGAAGAGGAGGATGAACAGGCAAAGGAAGCAGAGGGTTTAGAACAGGTGATTAAGTAATTCATTGCCTTATTTTGATAACATTTATAGTCTCCTTCTTTAGTTCTTTTTCTTCTTTTTCTTAGCAATCACTGGTGGCTATAAGCTTCAGCAGAAATTTCTGGTTGTTTCTCTAGTCCTGGGCTTTGGTGTTGTTCCAGAACTTGAGTTTTGCATGCACATCTGTTTTACAGATCTGGCTTATTAGTATGCACTCTGTTTGTTCCTTGCCTCCCAGAGAGATGTACTCTGACTTCAAAGAAAAGACTCCTAATTAGTTGCCTTTTTTGACATGCTTGTTAGGGGTGCAGTGGGTTTGTTTTTTTCTCCCAAAATGGGGCCCCAGAACTGCCACCAGGATCTTTGGTTGTTGTCTGCAGTTCTCTCTTCTTAAATCTGATGCTGTCTGGTTATCATACCTGATCATAACTTTCTGTTTCATGTAATCCCAGTCATTTCTGACATATATGTTCATCAACCATGTTGTCTTTTCTATGAAAGCCATCTGACTTGGTTTTCCCTTCACTTTATCGTAATGGAATTCATTGGTGTTTTTTTTTTTTTAAATAGTTCTGAAGGCCAGAAACTTTTTTTGTTCTGATCAACTTAACACTATACAATTGCCTTCTGTTAACATCTTATAGTCACAGATCATCAGTAAATACCATAATGTATTCTCTAATTTGTGTATTTGGTCAGATAATGGATCAAGAAATCTTGCTTTCCCATTATGTAATTACTCTTTGAAAGTAATGCACTCATTGTGGTTATCTCCCTTTTTAGACTCCTGCTCCAAAATCAAACGAGTAATTATTTTTACTTCATAGCAATAGCCAGATAGAGGAACTATTTCATTCCAAAGGTATTACTTTAACTAGAGTCATATACACATACACTTTGTATACAATGAATAGATGTCAAATTTTTTGTTTTGGTATGTTTTAGCTAAATATAAGACGTATAATCACACATGATACACTGATTGATGACCACACAGAGTGCCTTCCACATTTAGTAGATAAATAAATATAATAAAGTTATTCCTTACTGGCAGTAACAGTCATCCCTATATGGGATGCAATTTTTCGTTATTTGAAGCCCCACCCTGGCTTTTGTTGTGGGCCCTAAATATAGCCGGGCCATAAATATGACCTAACGGCTGAACAGGGTTTCTGGGACCTCTTCATGGGTGATCCTCATCTGCATGGTGGCACTTTGTGTCACCAGGTGTTTATCGCTTTGTGTGATGTGCTGTGCTGGTGGGGTACAACATACATACATACATTCCTTACCCACACACAAGACTGCAGGCAACATCAGGCTGGAGTAGCCATTAAAGTTGCAGCAGTTATAACTTATTCGAAGATTGAACAGGGTGTCTAGAATTTATACTGTTGATTAGCCATCAGGGATAAAATCTTGAAATCTTAGTGGTGGTCAAACCTTCAGATGGCAGTGATGATTGGAAAACAGATAACAGCGGCAGTGTGAATTGTGTGGAACAGGAAGAATTTAATGGTCAAATGGTTTGGACATAGGTCAAGATTATCACTAAACAGTGCACGCAAAGAACCCTGTCACTTACACTTAACGGAAGCAAATCCAGAGGTTGACCATACAGGTGATGGATAGATGGAATACATGAGGCTGTGAATACCAGCATCTACGCAGCACATACCAAGGCTCTCACCTGATGCCTCTTCAAAACTTGATGCTTCAAGGCAATCATCATCATCATCATAAGGTGCTTAAGCCGACTGGTGTGGGCGATCATGCCTCTCCATAATCTGCGATCTCCTGCAGCATGTATCAGGCAATACAGGACTAGAAGAAGAAGAAAAAGAAGAAGAAAAAAGAAGAGGAGGAGGAGGTGGAATTTATGGTGCTATAGTAAATAGCTTTCCACCTCTAAAGGACTTAAATTATTTATTTAAAGTAATCAGCCATTCCCTGTTTTTGTTTTGCAGATTGAAGAAAAGAATGAGCAAGATGAAGAAGAATCACCAGATGGCAGGGTTGAAGCAACAGCAGAAGATGTATAGTCCACAACAAAAACTTTAGAGATCCCTCAAGAGCAGTATAAAGATTACATGACATGCAGATGGGATAATTTTCATTTTTGTCAAACTATGCTTGGATTTTAGCTTTACAAACACAATTTTAAAGGATGTTTGTTTGTGCCTTTTGCAACAGAGTTGCATGATCTGAGGTTTATAACATGCTGTATTGATTTTATACAAGATGATTTGTCTTTGCCTTGGATATATTAATAGGAAATTCTGTTAAGCTGTTGAATTTTCAGTTTGCTAATAGATTAGCAGCACTGCACTGATGATGTCCGAATAAGTGTCTAAATTTTATGTGTAGTAAATCTGATAGAGACTTTTTCAGTCTTTCGTTGACTGACAAGCTAAATAAAATTAGCATTTATAGTACTACTCTTAACCACTCTAACCTATCTATACTTCAAATATTAGATAATCAGAAGTATTTCAAAATGTTGATAACAATATAGAGCTTTTGTTTTGCTAAAATGTTAAACAAAAATTATAAAAGAATAAAGAACCATAACTCTTATTTATTTCATAATTATTTAAATTAAGCTACTTTATCCCTTTATAAAACAGCATTTACACAGCAGGCGGTGTTACAATCTACAGTTCAAAATAAATTTCAAAAAATAAAAAAATTGGCTATCATCCGAATAATGGCCACATATTATGGCGGCCAAAAACAGGGCCTCAGTCACAAATAAACTGCAGACTTCCGACGACTATACCGCCACCGCCAAGAGTATCGCATACACCGCTACGCGCAGCGTGGATTGGGGCTAAACTAGATGGCTGCGACTCACGAGCAATTAAAATTAAGGAAACTGCAGGAGATGTGGAAGCTGCTGTTTGTGAGTCCCAGCCATCTAGTTTAGCCCCAATCCACGCCGCATGTAGTGGCATGGGAGATACTCTCGGCGGTGGCGAAGTCACCGGAAGGCCGCAATTTACAAATGACTGAGGCCCTGTTAGGGTGTTTTTGTGGCCACAATAATATGTGGCCGTTATTCGGAGGATAGCCAAAAAATCTTTTTTAGAATAACTATTTTTTTTTTAAAATAAAAGAAGTTCTGTACAAAAAAGCAACATTAAATTCGGGAACTATGCCAAACTGGCAATTACTGCCTTTATTTTACCACTTCTGCAGTGTAGGTAGGGGGGTCTTTGAGCCTGACTATTTACGGCCGCATGGCTAGTGCTGTCACCACCACTGTGCAGGTGAAGATTTCATTCTGCCCCCGACAGAAAAAATTCCCAGCCTTTCCGTGGATTTGAACCCGGGTCTCTCACTTGAGAGTCCAGTGTTTTAACTGTTCAGCCAGCTGCTCCTCTAGGAGTTAAGTACAGATTGAAAACATAAAACATTACATGGTAGAAAGTGTGTACAGACTAGTAACATAGCATATCAAAAGTTGTGTAGAGTGATAACATTAATGTCCTAGGTTGTATATAGAGTGAGTCAAAAGTTGTGTACAAGCTGGTAGCATTACTTGTGAGAAGTTATGTACAGACTAGTAACATTACATGTCAGACGGTATGTACAAGCTGGTAGTATTACTTGTGAGAAGTTATGAACAGACTAGTAACATTACATGTCAGACGGTATGTACAAGCTGGTAGCATTACTTGTGAGAAGTTATGTACAGACTAGTAGCATTACATGTCAGACGGTATGTACAAGCTGGTACCATTACTTGTGTGAAGTTATGAATAGACTAGTAACATTACATGTCAGATGGTATGTACAAACTGGTACCATTACTTGTGAGAAGTTATGTACAGACTAGTAACATTACATGTCAGACGGTATTACAATCTGGTACCATTACTTGTGAGAAGTTATGTACAGACTAGTAACATTACATGTCAGATGGTATGTACAAGCTGGTACCATTACTTGTGAGAAGTTATGTACAGACTAGTAACATTACATGTCAGACGGTATGTACAAGCTGGTACCATTACTTGTGAGAAGTTATGAACAGACTAGTAACATTACATGTCAGACGGTATGTACAAGCTAGTACCATTACTTGTGTGAAGTTATGTACAGACTAGTAACATTACATGTCAGATGGTGTGTACAAGATGGTAGCATTACTTGCCAGAATTAATTCGACTGGTAACATTACATGCAAGGAGTTAGTACAGACTAGTAAAATTACATGTCAGAATTGATTGACTAGTAACATGTCCTGTCATGAATTGTGTACAAGCTGATAACATGAAATGTCATCAGTTGTGTACTAGCAAGTAACATTACATGTGAGAAGTTGCAGTGATGGTGGACTTGAAGACATGAATTTAGGAGAATTGCAGAGAAGATGGGACTGTGGAGTAACATGAATAGGTAACTTCAAAATGTGTCTTAAAACTAATTAACCTAATAAAAATGATGATGAAGATGATGATGAAGATGATGATGAGGATGATGATGCAAGACTTATTGTAAATATTTGTTTGATGGTCTAATTCAATGTTGTTTGTGACATAATATGTCATGTGTCTTTATATGTCATTATCTTTTATGTGAATTCATGTTTTGTGATCGCCTGTGTGTATTAAATACTTGCAAACCTGGATAAAAGAATGTTTCAGTTTTTCTTGTTAATTTAAATTTTTCTATTGGCAGATTGCCTAATTTACATTAATAATAAAAATAATTGTCCTCCCTATTTGTATAATAATTTTAAATGAGAGTTCTCACATCCCATGTAAGCATTGTCAAATGTTAAGTGAATCTGATTTGCATTAAATTATCAGTGAAAAACACAAGGTGTTAGGGGTGAAAATGTACTTTAAGGTCACAACAGACAGGAAGCACCCTCCATATGTAGCCTTCGTTGATAACAAGCACCTTCAGCTGAAAAGAGGTCACTCTTGGATGGCACAGGCCAAGTTCCTGTCAGAAATGTTTGTGGAATTTACATGATTGTGTAATGTGAGAAATGTTTCAGAGGCCCTGCTCAAAGTGGTAATTACCTTGAACCACAGGTGCCAGGAATGGATAGCCGGTGAGGAAGAGACACAGTGCAACAGCTGATCAATGACAATTTATTCCAAGGCTACATTATTATATACACAGAGTGGTCTGTAGTGAGACATAAAGAAGATTAGATGCAGTTTTATTGCAAAGGTTGATGGACATTGTTTAAAAACAACCCAGAGAACCTTATTTATAACATCACAATGATGAGTATGAGAATGGAAGCGGATACAGTAGCGGCTGCTTTCTGCTGGCTTGAGAACAGAACAGACCAACATGTTGTAGTTGTAAGAGACTCATAGTAGCTTTAACTTGTCTGCGATACTCTGAAATATGACTTTGCTTACAGCATGTTTAGCCTTACTGTAAAAGTCGGCAGTGAAAGTAATAGTCTGTAATAGTGGGCAGTACAAGTAACAGTCTGTAAAAGTGGGCAGTACAAGTAATAGTCTGTAATAGTGGGCAGTACAAGTTATAGTCTGTAATAGTGGGCAGTACAAGTAATAGTCTGTAAAAGTGGGCAGTGTAAGTAATAGTCTGTAAAAGTGGGCAGTGCAAGTAATAGTCTGTAATAGTGGGCAGTACAAGTAATAGTCTGTAATAGTGGGCACTACAAGTAATAGTCTGTAATAGTGGGCAGTGTAAGTAATAGTCTGTAAAAGTGGGCAGTGCAAGTAATAGTCTGTAAAAGTGGGCAGTGCAAGTAATAGTCTGTAATAGTGGGCAGTACAAGTAATAGTCTGTAATAGTGGGCAGTACAAGTAACAGTCTGTAATAGTGGGCAGTGTAAGTAATAGTCTGTAAAAGTGGGCAGTACAAGTAATAGTCTGTAATAGTGGGCAGTACAAGTAATAGTCTGTAATAGTCGGCAGTACAAGTAATAGTCTGTAATAGTGGGCAGTACAAGTAATAGTCTGTAATAGTGGGCAGTACAAGTAATAGTCTGTAATAGTGGGCTGTGCAAGTAATAGTCTGTAATAGTGGGCAGTACAAGTAATAGTCTGTAATAGTGGACTGTGCAAGTAATAGTCTGTAATAGTGGACTGTGCAAGTAATAGTCTGTAATAGTGGACTGTGCAAGTAATAGTCTGTAATAGTGGACTGTGCAAGTAATAGTCTGTAATAGTGGGCAGTACAAGTAATAGTCTGTAATAGTGGGCAGTACAAGTAATAGTCTGTAATAGTGGACTGTGCAAGTAATAGTCTGTAATAGTGGACTGTCCAAGTAATAGTCTGTAATAGTGGACTGTGCAAGTAATAGTCTGTAATAGTGGACTGTGCAAGTAATAGTCTGTAATAGTGGGCAGTACAAGTAATAGTCTGTAATAGTGGACTGTGCAAGTAATAGTCTGTAATAGTGGACTGTGCAGTAGTAATAGTAATAGTCTGTAATAGTCTGTAATAGTGGGCAGTACAAGTAATAGTCTGTAATAGTGGGCAGTACAAGTAATAGTCTGTAATAGTGGGCAGTACAAGTAATAGTCTGTAATAGTGGGCAGTACAAGTAATAGTCTGTAATAGTGGGCAGTACAAGTAATAGTCTGTAATAGTGGACTGTGGAAGTAATAGTCTGTAATAGTTGGCTGTGCAAGTAATAGTCTGTAATAGTTGGATGTGCAAGTAATAGTCTGTAATAGTTGGATGTGCAAGTAATAGTCTGTAATAGTCGGCAGTGAAAGTAGTATTCTGTAATAGTCGACAGTGAAAGTAGTATTCTGTAATCGTCAGCAGTGCAAGTAATAGTCTGTAATAGTCGGCAGTGCAAGCATACAAACACACATACACACCCATATATATATATATATATATATATATATATATATATATATATATATATATATATATATATATATATATATATAAGGGTGTGTTTGTATGTCACCAGCTAAGTCGTTGATACAGTTAGCATTCCGAGTCCATAGTCTATAAACCAAACAAAAACAAAAAGGATCAAACGCCTGAACATTCTTTGTAACTTGTCCATTGCTTCCATAATCTTTAATGC